CCCAGAGGCCTTTCTGGGATGGTGGGTTTTCCTTTTTTTTTTTTTTTTTTAAAGTACGTATGTGTGTATGCACATACACACACCCATATATACATATATATGTATGTTATTATTTTATCCTGTTAGGTTTAGCAATAATAGAGAAGGGAAAGGAGTCATCACCAGGAAGTTCCCTGAGCTGCTTCCTAACTAAGAAGGGTGAAAAATGAACCAGCTTTGACACTTGGCTCCCCGTGAAAGCCCAGTAACCTCTCCCCCCTTCCATGGCCCCGGCCTTTTGTTCCTGGAGAACGGAGCTAAGGTACTTTTTCTCCCAGACCAAAGGGAGCAGGCAAGGAGTCCCCTTGTGAGCGCATCGTCTGTAGATGGCCTGCTCATGGTTATTGTCAATGCAGGCTTCCTCCAACAATTGCTGCAGGGAGACACAAAAGCAAAAACATTTGTCCTATTTTTTTTTAACCTCTTTGTTTTAGTTTTTTTTTATCCATTCTTTAAATTTCACAGTTTCTATTTGTCCGCAGAGAGACAAACGGAACAGCGTGAAGCTCATTTCACCGTAGGCCTCACTGGCGATTGGAGCAGCCTCAATAGAAACCCACATTCTAAAACACTGGCTGACTTGGAGAATATGTGAAATTTCAGCTGGGGGTTGGGGTGGGGGGGGGAATGACTGTGAAGTCAGATTAGCACAGATTTCCAACAAAATGAACTGCACTGAAAGGATGGGGGAAAAATGGGATTCTAGCATTCCTCGGTAAAGCGTGAAAGGGTCATCTTTTGTTTATCTTCTGGTATCCTGTCCACTACTTAAAAGTGACCATTGACTAAGGGAGAATAGAAATTACGTGAAATTACTCATTAAAAAGAAACACCATCTGAGATGGACGGTTGCGAGTCTCACAGAACGCAGTGTTTAAACTCGAGTGGAAACTGCGTGGTGTGCGAATTGCTACTGGTTGAGTTTTTTTTTTTTTTTTTGTAGGATTTATATAAACAGACAATATCCCCTGTCCCTTTTCTTTTCCTCTCCTGTTTCCTGTTTCCTTTCTTTTACCCCGACCTCAGTCCCCTCCAAGAATTCAGTGGTTTGCTGGCCACTGTGAAGGGATGTGTCAGACAGCTGGGGGATGGCTCAGGGACAAAATGGGAAGTCCACCTCTTTTTTTCCCCCCATGGCCCAAACAAAGCACCCCTCTCTCCTTAGCATGTAGACCCTGGACTGTGATGTTGCCTTTAAGCATCTGTCTGCTTCGTCATTAAAATTCTCATTTTCAAGGTTTAGAAAAGCAAATGTAAAAAACTTCCCTGGGTATTAAAAGTCTTGCATGGCAAATTCTCTTTGCCCTTTCAGAAAAAAAATATTTTTGTTTCCAAAAAAGAAAGAAAGAAAGAGACCGTGGTGACCTATTTGCCTAACATTTAGGACGGTTTTAAGGCAACTTCTGTAATTTTGCTTCCTTGAGACTTGGGCTTTGCCACTTAAAATTATTTTGGGAAAACTCTTTTGAATCACAGATTTAAAGGCAGATGACTCATTTGTATCTTTCTTGCGTGTATGATTGAAAGGTTTAGGAGGCGGGTTGGGAAGGGTAGGTAAATAAACCAGATAACATTACGTCTATGATGGGGTAAAAATGAATCTATGGAATTAGCACTGCAGTGATACTTGAAGGCCCTGAGGTTCCTGTCAGAGAAATGTGAAACAATGTCTGGGTAGGCCCTCCTGGCGCGCCACCCTTTCTGAGCTGTGCTGTCTGGAGGCTGGTCTGTAGTCTGTATCATCCCCAGGAGGCCTGGGGCCCCCAGCAGGTACCTGGCCCCCAAATAAAACTACCTCCTCTTATTGGTGGGATAAGCTCAGACCTTGGAGCAAAATTCAGTTCCAAATGCATTTGTGTGTAACTGGGGGACATGTCTGTGTGTGTCTCTGTCCTCCATCCCAGGTTAAAGCCTCAAGATCATTTAAGCACAAGTTTGAAAATCAATGTGGGCATATCATTTATTAAACATAGAATGATCTGGAAGAATTGCACACATCTACGTAAACCCAGCTGTGCTCTGAAGCGGGGGGGGGGGGGCTGGAATGCTGATCTCCCCTGTATCTTCAGTCAGGGATCATATTCAGCTTTGCCGAAGTGAAAGGATAGAGCGTTAGCGTGTGAGTCTGGGGGTGGCAGGGAGCAGGTTTGGCTGGGTTGGAGAATTGCAATTCATCAGCCAGCTAAGCAGTAGTGGGCAGACCTCTGGCTTGGAGATTGGGTAAGGGGAGGAGAAGAGAAGGGCTAGCGGTTCCCTGGTTTATTTTGAAATATTTATCCTTTGACTGTCGCCAACTGGGCTCTCTAGATGGAACAGGCCTGGGGACAGAGAACTGTGAGGACTGGTGAAGGACAGCCTTTTCTGAGGGTGGCTCCATTTGTGATTGTGTTCAGGATGTAGCCCGAGAGCATCAGGCTGAGGCAGCTGCCCTGTCCTGAGCTTGGGTACAGAATTTGCAACATGGATTTCTGAAAAACCGATGGTTCCATATGCCAGAGTGTGCTTTGCAAATCCCCTCTGAAGAGGTCTTATTTTGGTTATGGATGGCAATAAGTTGTCCCCAAGGTAGCACCCCAGCTTTTATGCAGCCCACCATATTCACCATGGTCTACAGGCTGAAGGCTACCTGCCCATGGCTTTACCTGTTAAGTGTTTGTCTGGAACAAAGGCAGGCTTGAGTAGGCCTCACGTGCCTCCTATAGCTACTGCAGGATTAAGATAAAGGAAAGGGACCAGGGCCACCCTCCTTGCTACTTGTCAGGCTCCTTAGGTGTAGAAGGCCTGTCACCAGGGCCTGGGACACTGGCAGAATCAAGGCAGAGCCCCTCTGCCAGCCCCTCTTCAGCGACTCAGATGGCTTTAGATCTTGTCTTGTGGTTTCTCCAGTTTCATTTATGTGTATCCTATGCCTCCCCCCCCCCCCCAATACTCACCAAATTAGGAGATTCTGAGGTGGTCCCATAATAAAACTCAAGAGAAAGCTGCAGAATTCCATTTTCCAGGAGCAGAAACATTTTTCTGTTGTCTTTACTTCATCAACTAGGCCCATGGGGTTGCTTCCAGGTGAGGAGTGGGGGTCTGGAACCTCCTGTTTTCCCAAAGAGCATCTCTGAGTTGGAGGGGCCACCTTGCTTGCCTTGCTGCTAGCATCATCATCTTCATGTATTATTCATACTCACTTTTTCAATTAAATTATTAATTGGTTTTCTTTAAGGTGTTCCTGACTCATGTGGCTAATATAAATAACCGTGTGTTTTGAAAACACCACCTGTTCTTGAGCCCGAGGTCAGGCAGTCTGGAACAGCCCCACAGTGGCCATACTCTGGTTCACAGAACTGTTCATCCTCCACCCTCCCTCCTTTCTGTTCTCTGCAGGCGCCCCCCTACCCCCCCACTCCAAGTTTGACTAAATTTGGCCTCTGCCCTTCTTTGTCCCTAATCGACTTGATTCCCTAGAGGCAGTTCCTTTCTTCCAAGGCCCTAGCTTAGGGGGGGAAATTGCAATCTCTTTTTTGTACTAAAATATAGAGGGGGGGGGGGCGTTAGTCTGCACCCAACAGGTTAGGTATTACATCGATTTGAACCCGAATTCTATTGTACCAAAAAATGCTCTCTACACAGAGACACGGTAGTTTTCACCAACCAAGCATCCCCCTTTTCCTCCCTGTTAACGCGTGCTTAATGCAAATACGATTCCATACATTCTGCTCTTCGCCTGGTGAGCTTATTATATTTCTAACACTTGCATGGTTCATTATTGTGCAGTAGGAAAAGACTCGCGGCTGCAGGGGCAGCCTGGGTGGCTGGTTTTCAGAAAGAGAAAAAGCAGGTGTCTTTCTTTCTGTGTTGAGAATGAAGACTAGATTTAGGAGGAGGGTGGAATGCTGTCTGAGAGGACTGGAGACTTCCGGTGAGATTTCAAGGGGCCCGCCTTTACATAATAGAATGTAAAAGGTGAACCTAGGGGAACCTCGAAGTGCCCAGCAGTTGCTTTGACCAGCTGAAGTGGCCCTGTTCGGTTTGATCCTGGTGGTAGAACCTCCCCGAGACGGACACCTTTCTTGCCCTCTCTGAAAAGCCGTGAGGCTTTTTAAGGGAGGTCTCCTTCCTTAAATCGGGTGGCTGCAAACTGCTTGTCTTTTTCTAGTCATTTCTTCGTCTCTTCTTTTCTCCCCTCTCCTCAAAAACTGTCCTTAAACTCTCAGTGGAGAGTGGGGGATGTTTTCGCAAGTTTCTGCAGCTGAAAAACAGAAGTTCTCTGTGAAGCAGTTAATAGGATGGGTGTGTGTTTCAAATAAATTCCTGTCCACATTGGCTAATGTCCCCTGTTAGAGTGGCCTGGCTCTGACGTGGACAGGGCCCAGAGACTGATGGATCAGGGTTCGGAGGCCCCAACTGCTTCTCTTCTTTTCCTTTTTTTTTTTTTTTTTTTCTGGTGGCTGAGGCGCATCGGTTCCTTCCAGGCCGGCCTTTGACTTTTGATGAGCGGTGCGGTCAGTGCCTCGCGGGGACGCGGCTTTGTTCCTGCCGGGCCGGTTCCCGGGTTGGTGTAGGCCAGGGCAGCCAAGACTCCTGTCCCCAGGCGAGTGCGGCCCAGCCTGCCTCCACGGCCGGTGTTGGGAGCCAAGGCCCAGTAGACCCGGCCCTGCTCCGTGTGTTATGTCCCCAGGTCCCCGCAGGCGCGCGGGCGCGGCCACTGTGAGCAGTCCGGCCTGCGCCCAGCGCGACTGTAGATGTCAGGCTTTGCCCGGGGAGCCGAGAGGCTGCGGGGCTGTGAGTTTCAAATTAACCTTCCGCTTTGTTGCTGTGTAATGTGGATCCCCGAAGGCCCCCCGCCCCGCCCGCCCCCCTTCCTCGGGCGGTGCGCGCTGCAAACTGCGAGTTGAGCTTCATTTACATAAAGCGATTCCGGGCGGGCGGGCGGCGCAGGAGGAGGAGAGAGGCGGGCAGGCCGGGACGGGGACCGGGACGCAGCGCCGCGCCCCGTGGGTGAATCCCCGCCGCGCCTGGGGGACCTCCCTCCCCGGGCAGCCCGAAGATCGCCAGCCCGGGCCGCCACCATGCGCGCCCCGCCCCTGCCGCCAGGCCCCTCGCTCCTAGCCTGCGCCACCGCCGAGCCCGGGGGGCAGCGGGAGGTGGGGAGAATGCCGCCTGGGGTGGGTAAGTTCGGGGCTCCGCTGCCGCTGGAATCTCCCGTTGCTGTCGCGCAGGCCGAAGTGGTGGCCCCCGGACCTCCGAGTGCCTCCTTCCTCCCGAGGTGTACGGAGGCTTTGTGTGCCAGGTGAGTGCAGCCTCCCTCCCCCGCCGCGCGGCTCGCAGCCGGCCTAGCGCTGGAGGCAGGTGCTGCGAGTCTTGGCTGAACTTCCCATTCTCTTGGGGCATGTGGGGGAAGGGCAGGCTGGATGCACTTGAACTCCTAGACTCCAGTGGGAACCTACCTGGGGAGAGAGTGGCTAGAGCCCGCTGGGCACGGGAGTACGTTCCTTCTTGTATCCTCTCTCGCTTTCCTCTCTGACCCCCTCCTCCTCCTCCTCCTCCTCCTCCTCCTCCTCCTCCTCCTCCTCCTCCTCCTCCTCCTCCTCCTCCTGATTTTGGATTTGTTCAAGCCTTCCTAATACTTGGGGTACTGGTGCTACTGAGAACTTTGGGTTCTTTCGTCTAAAACACACCCCTTCAGCCAGAGAGGGGGAGAGGAAGAGAGTTAGAAATCGCTGGTCAGTTTGCAGCAATGTGAAGAATGCGCCTGTTTGGGGAGTAATTAAAGAGAGATTCTGTATAGAGCTGGAGGGGACCTATGGAGATCATCTTGGCCGCCCTCTAATTTCGGTTTGTTCTTCTGCCAGAGCCCGTGCAGCATTGGGGGGGGGGTAAACGAAGGAAGAGGTAAGATTTTTACCCAGTCGGGGGAGAGATGTCCAAGTTAGGCTAGCAACAAGAAAAAAAAAACGCCTACCCAAAAATCATTTTGTAGGTTTAGAGAGTAGCATGCCCCCTGGAAAACAGCCCTTTCTGTCTGGTACGTATCTATGTAATGATGGTGGGACTCCTGCCCTCAGGGGAAAGCCCACGGCCCATATGTGGCACACTCAAAGGAAGTTTGAGCAACCTGATACAGGCGTACGCGGTCTGCTAAACTGCCTTAAAGGCAACCCATAACCAGGTGAATCCAGGAGGGCACCTCCACCCTTTGCATCTGTGTCATTCAGCAGCCTTTGACAACTCTCTTGAAGCCATTGACATAGAACCACAGAGAGTATAGACTTCCCATCTGGAACCCAAGGAAGGCCTCTTCTTCAGGCTGTAGCCAAGTAGGGCCTGCTTGGCCGAATGCACCAAGGCACAGCAAGGCAAACAGACTTAAGCCTCCAAAGAGAGATAGTGAGAAAGTTACACGTCATCTTCATCTTACTTCATTTAATGCCTTGAGATCCTCGGAGACGAGTCACTAAATAAATAGAGTCTAATTTGAAGCTCACCCTAGCTGGGGGTAACTGTTTCTTTGCCATCAAGCAGCAGGTGCAAGTTTGTAGAGTTGGCCCCTGGAGTCCCCTCATTCCTAAATTCAGGAGGTGTCAAACCTTCATGTTCTTTTAATGACTGTGGTTTCTGGATAGGTTTCAAGGGAAACCCTAAAAATCACGAGTTCCACTGGGCTGGACTGGAGTGCCGTGGCCCAGACTGTATTACATAGGAAAGCATAGACCCTCCGAGGTAACAGGCTGCTGCAGGGAACTGGGAGCCTGTTTCTTGTTATCACAGCGTCCACTGGCAGCCTGAGATTCTAAATTGCAGACATAGGGAACGGGGAACAGAGGTGGGCTATGGAGGGGTCTGGAGACCAAGGATCTTCATCATTTAAGGATTTCAAGAACGAGGGCTTTGGAGAGAGGCGAATGCCTGGGTGTTTGCACACCTGTAATTACGTTCATCTAGTTTTGAGGGGTTTTGGAAGGCCCCCCCTTACAGAGAGTGTGCAGCCATGAAGGCCAAGAGCACACAGCCCCCCCCCCCCCCCGCTTTCTTTCCTAAGTCACAGGACAAAAGAAATTGTCTGCATTTGATTTCCAGTATGGCTTTCAGAAGATATGTAAAGTGGCTCTCAGAATGGGCTGGGGGTCACACTCGGCCTTTTATTTAATTACATGAGTGTTATTTAACAACACGGGGTCGGTGGCAGAAGCAAGCACTTGTACACATTGAAAGCAGGTCCTTTTGGAATGGCCAGGAATCAAGTGCCTTGCAGACCTTCTGTCTCCATGGCATGGGTCAGTCGTCTCCCTCCGCACCTCCCCCCCCCCCACCCAGTAGGGTACTTTCTCTGGGATGGAATCCTGTGCTCCACATCTGAAAACTGTTTTGATTGACAAGGAGTCCGAAAACAGCAAGAACAATGAGCTGCACCTGCCAACCACCTGAAACATTAATTTTGGTTTCTTTGCACGAGGGAATGCTGAGGAAGGATGGAGGAAAGGCAGGGCCCCAGTCAAACGGAGCTGCCAGGCGGCCTCCTGTTTGGCTCGCCCTGGCTGGACAGCAAAGTGCTTTCTTGCCGTTTTGGGACTGGATTTAACCGCCATGTAAACTTCGTGCCAGTTGGACTTCCTAGTGTCAGGGAGCTAAAATAAGCAAGATTTCAGCCTTCACCGTTAGGACTTAAAGTGGTGGCTCTTAGTCTCTCCCAGGACTGGTTTGGCCCGCTTTGGGCAACCCGAAGGGGGTGGGTTCCACTAGAGTAAGTCTGTGAGTGCAGAGTGATGGGAATGAGCGGTCTGCTCCTGCTGATGGAGGTTTGACTGGTTCTTAAAGGAACTAAAGAGAAAGGTGTGATCACTTGTGGTGTCCAGGGACTGTGTCCTTATTGCTGGTGTGTGTGTGTGTGTGTGTATGTACACGTGTACGTGTATGTAGGAACTGTTCCTTATTTAGCATCTCTTGAGGCTTTGGGGGTGATAGTGTGAGGACTTGGAGCCATAGCAGACTCTTTCCTAGGAAACTTTAGCTTTCCTGGGGACTTGCAAAAGTTTCATCTTTAAAAGTAAATATTTAAGTGACTAAGCAGTGTTTTCTCAAAATGTGTGGAATTGCTGTTCCTGCTTGCTGTCTGCCCCTGGTGCCTGGCAGAGTTCCTAGCTTGCTTCCCAACCTAAGGCCATGCATGAGTCTTTCCTGCAAGGAGGCCATAGGGAGTCTGGTCTCAGGAAGCTTGTCTAAGCCCCGCCTCCCGGCTGGCCAGCCCTGCAAGAATACTGCACCTGATGCTCGCTGTAGCAACCTCAAGCAGTACAGTCTGTGCTGTGGTTTATGCTTTCATTTGTGATTAAAATGGTTGCTCGCTGTTAGGCTGGCCTATTTCTGTACTGTTTGGGCCTGTTGGCCTCCTCGGGTTCCCAAGGCTGTTGTAATTACCCGGTATGGAGGCCGTTCCATCCAAACACAACAGGAAGGCAGATTCCATTATCTCAAACTTGGTCGGGTCGTCCACATGCTCTGGTCTGAGGATTTGGTTGTAATGGTTATTGTTAGGAATCGCAGCATAGCTGTGACTCCCCAGTCCTTTCTCCCTGAGTTAAAGGACTGTGGTCAGGAAACTAAGCAGCCCGATTTAATGGAATCCAAGCCAGGGAATTCCTCCGCAAGAGCGAGGCGCGGTAAGGTCCTAAAGGTACTGGTTCTGTCCTGAGCACAGTGGCCTGCATTATGAAGCCACTGAAACTGAGAAAACAGACACACGGAAGCTAAGGTTTCCTCAAACTGCCTGGAGGGAGAGGCACAGGCAGAGGAGAGGCTTGGGTCCTTGGCAAGCTGCTTTCAATTCCAGATTAAGGAGCAAAACTATCAAATCAACAACTGTCAGATTTATTATCTGTATGATTTAAAGTTGATTGCCAGACGGTTCTCAGGAATTGACAATCAGATGTTAGAGGGCTGTTTTGGTTTTTATTTTTATTTTTTGTATGTGGCAAATGACTGTTACAGACACAGGAGCCAGGGACTCTGGGAAGGCAAGGCCTAGCTTCAGTTGACGGACAGCAAAGTTGTGTTAAGGCTTCAGAGGCAGTGACGTAGAGGTCCCCCCCTTCTTCCTATCCTGGTTTTCATCCTTCGGGTCACAGAGCAGGCTAGTGAGGACTGAGGATAAGCCACCAAGGTAGCGGTGACAGGAGTATTTCTAAAAAGTTCTGTGCCCTCTAAAGTGGCCCCGGCTGCCGATTTGTTAAAGTCCTTGTTTTTATAAATATCCTCCTTTGGGTGTTTTCTGCCTTTCTTTCACTCCTGATTCCTCGAGCTTCTTGCTTTTGCAAGGATAAAGATGCAATTCAAAACGGGAGCAGACAGAGTGCATGAGCTGGCAGATTGGCTCGGTCGCACATCAAGAATTGTATTGTGTTGTTTTAACCCAACACAGGACCCTTAGTGATATACCTGAAGCTTTATTTGCCTTTTGGGTGAGCCATTCTCCCTTCCCACCATATAGGCCTGTCAACAAGAGGATTAATGTGGTGTGTGTGTGTGTGTGTGTGTGTGTGTGTGCGCGCGCGCGCGCGCACGCGTGCGTGTGTATAACATGCTTCTCCAGAGGAATCCTACCTTCCCTGCCTCCTGAGAAGAGCTGCTGTGGTTTTTAACTGCATCCCACCCCCCCACCCCCCACTTCAGGTCAGGTCTGAGGCTTCCAGAGAAAGGAGACTTGAGACAGGCCAGACAGTTGACTACCTTCCTACCGCCTACCCCTTCTGATTCCCACTGGTTTGGTACTGAGGCTGTAGCAAGGCCACTCCACTTGGAGATGGAAAAGGCTATCTCCTTTTCTGGGAGAAAGGGAATCCCATCAAGGTCTTAAAAAGCCATCTTCCCTCTGAAGTGAATTTTTTGAATCTGATCTTAAATGGATCTTTTGGGGCAAGAGTTAGGGATTTCTGGGGTATATGAAGTTATTGCTAGGAAATCTTTAAGTGAAAGTGAGAAAATTGGCTCAGTTGAGCCAAATGCAAAGGAGGTGGGTTTTTGTTGTTATTGTTATTTGTGTGTGTGTGTGTGTGTGTGTGTGTGTGTGTGTGTGTGTTTTCTTCCACGACAGAATTTCTTTCTGTAACAGCCCTGGCTGTCCGGAACCAGGCTGGTCTCAAAGATCCTCCTGCCTCTGCCTCACAAACCAGGTGCTGAGGTTAGAGGCCTGTACCACCTCTCCCAGCTAGGAGGTGGGTTTTTCCATCTGCAACTGATGTTATGCATTGTCCTGCCAGTGCCTTGAGCCACAGACCTCTATCTGGGTGCTTCTGC